AAAACGCGAACTAGCAACTGCAATCCCCGAGAACATTGTCGTCAATGCGCATTGTGTAACTGGCAATGTGACCCCATTCAGTTGAAGGTAGCTTGTGTATACGTTACGCCGGAGAGATTCATTTGCAATCATTTATATTCTGGAAAGTTTCCCGAAAACAGTTTTTTTGTCAATTCATGAAATATAAAACTCTCCAACCACATCGTATACTTACTTCATTTTAAATAACTTTAATCTACGTGGAAAGACTGGTAAATATTTGTTATATGCCAGTTGTCGTTGATTCAATTTATTTGTAGATGGCGGAAATCTAAGGCAAAACTCACCGCGTAATAAATTCGATTTCTCTATAAATCCAAAAGCTTGATAAAACTTACACCATCTTTGCTCCTCATCCAGGAATTTAGCGAATTAAACTTTTAACATCAAACTGTACAGCGATTCCAACAATTAAATTAGCAGCTACGAAAATTCCGATAAATTTATAAACATCCACTGCATTATATTGTTATACAGGATGTGTCCTCGTACATATGGCATTATCAAGTTTCGGAACTACTGGAAAACCTCATCTTATGCATTATGGATGAGGGTGTAGAATGCATGCAAGTGAGTTGCAATAATGTTGTTTCAGAAATAGAGAGGAATTATTAAATTGGAGCGATAAGATCATACTATTGGCCAATACAGACGCTGCATTTTAAAATATCTAATAAAATGCATTTACCTAAATTGAGACTTTTCCCAATTGAGCAACTTGCAAAAAAAGTAATAATTAAATTTTTCTTAAACATATGTGGATTGCACTCTTACTAGGGTAATGAGGTTCCCTAACCCCTGAATACAGAGTGTTTCACAACTCGCGCCCTAGAGAAAATTGGGAAGTAAGATAAGATAAAAAAATGTTTCTATCTGTCAACAAATTTCCACATTTATTCTTTAAGATTTGATCTTTTGTTGTATATTGAATGTTATCAAGATTATATATGTTTTTGATAAATATTTAGTAAAGAGACAAAAACTTTTCCGACAAAAGCCACAAATAACGTTAAACATAGTTACAATTCAGAATACAGCTTTTTTGTTTCTTTTTCTAAGCTGTGGAGGTCTACATCGGGACCACAGAATCATGCAAGACGTTTTGGAGGATCGACCCGCTTCCACCGGAACGTATATTTTTATTTCCGTTCAGTTGGTTGTAGTTGTTGTTTTGATGCTTTGTTTCAGTGCCAAGGCAAAAGCCGAGCTGATGAAGGCCTTGGCCGAGGCGAAGGAGTCGGCCACCAAAACAGCCCATTTTTCCATTGTGTGATATTTCATGTCAATTAAATATTTTAATAAAAATTGTTTGTTTTTAACTTTGAAACCACAAAAATACAAAAAATATTGTTTCTTGTTTTAAATGCACATTTTTACAAAAGACCTTGTAATAACAAATTCAAAAAGTTTTGAGTCTTATCAAAAATTGACAAAATTCCTGGTAGAATTCGCCTGTACGAACTGTTTTGACCTAGGAAACAGTTTTCGAGTTATAAAACTAAAAATAGCTCTGTAACCGGAACCGGAACCGGAACCGGAACCCAGAGCGGCAACGGGATTACGCCATTAAATAGATAATTTAAAACTGATTTTGATGTTTATTTGCTTTTTTTGTCTAGTTTCAGAAAAAAACGCATTTAAAGTTTTATAATTTTGAAATTTGTTACTTTTTAAACGTCGAAAATTAAATGTGCTTTCCAATAGTACCAAAGATAAGGGATTATCACCAATAATTGTCAGTTATTGGCAATAGATCGCTTTCGGTAAAGAAAATCGACCAAAATTTTGTCAAAAATCTACAAATTGAAAACTTCAAAATCGATCTAAATGCACTTCAAGGGATCTAAAAGTGCACAAAACGTCATAGAAACACACAAATATTTATATTTTTTTTAATTTCATATGAATACTATACAGAGTGTTTCACACAACTTTATGAGGCTTGAGCTGGAGATGAACGAAGCTTTTCCAAATTAAAATTGATAAAAAATTATTTAAGATCATGAGCCAAGAACGGTTGAACAATTTGGCAATTATTTCAATCAAAAGCAAAGTTTGCGAGGAACTGTGTATTTCAGTATAACAGATTTTACAAATATAAAATCTCCCCAATATAATTTTTTGTACCTACTTTTAGTTTTTTTTTTTGCAAATACGAGTATTGTACCTACTTAGATGTTTTGTTATCTACTGTTTGGTTTGTTGTCGGCTGGTTAAGTGATTAAATTTGTTAATTTCCATGTTTAGATTTTACGTATTTTTTGTATCAATCGTTCAAAATAAAGATTTATTGACTATTGTCAATTAAGTGTTTCATTTAGTTTTTTTCTGCAAGCACTTATCTTTTTCAAGTTTTGTCAAGGAGGCGGCAAAATGTAAACTGCACCCAGGCGTCGGTGGTACCCAGCGCGGCCCTGTATACATAGGAACAAAGAATTTCATTTAACAAGATTCTTTGTAAACGTCTAAACTAATGATACAACTAAAATGTGACATCTTATTGTTATCTGCACATACTTGAGCCGTATAACATTTGAAGCAAATTTTCAGCAATAAATTTTCAGAATATTTGTAATGAAAGTATTTGGTAAAGTGTTTTTGCGCCCAATTTTTGGCAAATTGCGATTGTGTATGTTGAGGGTGTGAAGGAACTACTCGAGTTTTCGTGAAGCGGTCGTTATAAAGTTGAAAATCGAGCAAACAAGACGTTGACGTATTCAAAATAATGACGATATATTTACTATAAAAATATGTTAATGCGGAGGAGGCAGTGTTTTAGAGAGGTGGGTAACTGGCGGCAAAGAATGCGAGAAAGCACGACAGGCTCGCGCGGCATGCGGCCTGGCACGCCATTCCTAAACGTTACTGCAGAATTGATTTCTGCCAACCATTAACTTGACTAAAGTGCTCTCCTCTTCAGCCACCTTAAACACGCGACTAGGAAAATCGACGAAACTCATGAGGGTCGAATTAAATTTTAGAGCGACACGCATACCCCGTCGACGGCGTTTCACAGCAAAAATAATCGGTTCGAACATTAATCCACAAAGGATGTTCTTCGTCAAAACACTTTTCACCGGTCGAACATCGACCCCGGTTTGGATTTTCGTAAGCTTTCAGGTTTGTTTGATGTGAAAAATAATGAAGATAATCCGCGATACCTCTATCCATGATTGAAATAAAACTGGATTTGTTGCTACAAGATACTTCAAACTTTCAAGATTCTTTATAATTTAAAGTGAAACTCTGGACAAATACAAAGTTAACTGAATTATGTGGGTTTTCGACTACACTAGACGAAAGTGTACAACACTCATAGAGTGGAAGTGTAAGTACTCTACGAAAAACTGAATCACAAATTATTGCATACTTCAAGCGGCTATTCACGAACTTGAAAATAAACCAAGAAATACTTCGGCAAAGATTAATGCCGAGAGACACTTTTATAGTTCCATAGCTCTTTTCCGGCATGGAACTTTGCCTAAGGAAACTTGATTCTTGCCAGTTTCTGCCAAGAACGGCATTCATGCCAAACTATTTAATTTAATTAATGATAAAAATGACAACAAAAAATCCCAAACTAATCTCGTTTGTCTCGGTTATTGCAGATTTTATTACAACATCGAGAATTATTAAAACAACCGTTAGATCGGTCTTTAATTTAAAATTTTCATTGAAGTTGCTAGACGAATATCAGGATAATAGAGTCACATTTCATACATCGCTGACAGACTGTTTATTTCATAACTTTTCAGATTTCTATCTATTTAAATAGATATCTAGCATTAAATATTTGTATAGGTAATTTAATTATTTCATGTGATACTTGACGACAACTGAGAGCTTGATCGGTATAAGCGTAATCTTCTACTAACTTTAGTAGTGGAGAAAGGGGTTGAAAATAGCCAATAGGACCAAAGTACCCTTTTCTTGCCGTTTTACTGTCATCTACTAGATATTTTATTAAATAATATATTCATAATAAGAAATTTGATTTTTATACACACGCAAGTGCGTTAACGTTTATAATTATATCTTTCATCCAAACAAGATAAATTGTGTTATATATAAATCAATAATGTGTAAAAGCAGCAGTTTCAATGATTTAAAAAGTCTGAGCTGAAAGCAAAAACTGAATATATCGATTTGTATTTTTCCGATTTAAACGATTTTGACGATTTATGATTTTCTACAAAAAATTTTATGATTAAACTTGGTTTTAGAATCAAGTATCGTTCAAATTCTTTGTTAATTGTATTGTATTTTTTTTTTGATTTTATTTTATTTGGCTTATAATTTTTCAAATTACATTCGAGATCAAAATTTTGGAGTGGATTGATCCGTACCCTGACAGAATGCATAATTTTGTTCTAATACATAAGAAAATGCACAGTTTAATTTTAAAAAGTTAGTATGAGTAATTAAAAAATGTTTTATTATGGAAGACTGGGGAGAATAAATAGTTATGTATTATTAAGTAATAATTAAATTTTTCTTATACCATATGTCTATTGTACTCTTACGGTAATGAGGTTCTCTAACCACAAAGTGTTTCACAACTCGCGGCCTACAGAAAATTGCTAAAAAAAAATGTTTCCATCTGTCAAAAAATTTCCACATTTATTCTTTAAGATTTGATCTTTTTTTGTCTATTGTATACAGGGTGCGCCAGAACTCGCGCCCCAGAGAAAAATGTCATGTGCCAGCGGCAATAGATCGCCAAAAAGTGCAGCCGAAGAAGTAATTTTTGCTTGCATAAGAAAGTTATTCGACTCTTAAATCCACCAATCCCAGAAGCGCACTTCAATGTGTGATTGAAAAGTTATATCCGTTGCTAGGTTACAAAAATAATACCAGTTTGCCCAGAACTTTACAAAATAGCTGGTCTACTGTAATTTTCACATTTAATTTATTAATTTTCTGTCAACTGTCATGTGAGTGACTTAATCGGCTAGTTTTCAGTATTTTTCTCGAATATTTCTCGGTGAAGAGGTTGTACACAAGTGTAATGAGACAGAATCGTTAATTATTATCAACAATTATCAAAAATTATTTTGAAAACTCGATTCCCAAACATTCTGGTCCGATGAACCGACTTCTCTAAAACTTCTTCACAGGTGTTGCTCCTTGTGAACTTTTTCTTCGATCTGATACGGATTAACAAGCCGATATTGAATTTTAGAGCTTGAAAACTAATGCATTATCCTTTTGAAATAAAGAAGCAATTGTGATCGCCGGGCACAGACGCTAGACCAACCCCCTATTCTTTCAAGGTGACACCACGGTTATCGCTGTTCCCAGACGTTAGTGAGACTGAGAGACCAGAAAGACATGAAGTACTCAAGTTTCTTTATTTACTTTAATGCAAAATTAACAGAAAAATGTTCTTTTTATAAGAAATTGTGCTTAAATAAAACAGGTTACTAATTTTAATATCAAAATTGTAGTTTTACTCTCGTATTTAGGCATTCTTGCCCAGTAGAAATTCTAACCTCAAAATTTCAACAACAATTTATTGTTGTTTTCTTCCACTTACATTAGCTTACTATAACCCCTTGGCTGCTTTTTCATTAAAAAATCTAGAATCTAGAAGAATGTTGCGATGTTTGTATTTAGTACGAAAAATTAGCATTTTTGCTATTGTTTTAATTCCGAGGGCATTTCAGCAACGCTTTTTGGTGAATTTGTGGGCTGGTCTTCTGGGGAATCATGTGGTTTGTCAATAATATCAACTAACTTCAACATAACGTGACTCACTTTCTAAAAAGTATATTTTTCTGTTAATTTTGCATTAAAGTAAATAAAGAAACTTGCGTACTTCTTCATGTTTTTCTGGTCTCTCACTCTCACTTGCTTCTTTGTTTCATAAGGATAATGCTAGTGCATTACTAAAACTAGTGTTTTCAAGCTCTAAAATTCATTTATCGGTTTGTTAATCTGTATCAGATCGAAGAAAAAGTTGAGAAGGAACAATACCTGTGAAGAAGTTTTAGAGAAGTCGGTTCATCAGGAGTTTTCCGAATGTTTCAAAATAATTTTTGATAATTGTTGATAATAATTAACGATTCTGTCTCATTATACTCGTGTACAACCTCTTCAGCGAGAAAAATCCTGGAAACTAACAGGTTACGTCACCCCCATCACGATAAATGTCAAACGCAAAATTACAGTAGACCAGCTATTTTTTAAAATTCTGGCCAAATTGGTATTATTTTCGTAACCTAGCAACCGATATAATTTTTCAATCACACTTTGAGGTGCCCTTCTGGAATTGGTGGATTTAAGAGTCTAATAACTTTCTTATGCAAGCAAAAGTTACTTCTTCGGCTGCACTTTTTGGCGACCTATTGCCGCCGGCACTTGACATTTTTCTCTGGGGCGCGAGTTCTGGCGCACCCTGTATATTTTTTATAAATATTTAGTAAAGAGACAAAAACTTTTCCAACAAAAGCCACAAATAATGTTAAACATAGTTACAATTCAGAATACAGCTTTTTTCTTTTTTTTTCTAATAGCCTGCAGCAAATAGTTATTTATTATACAAAAGGATAAAATTGAATTTTATCTTTGAGAGCAATTTAGCGTCGAGGCGTCAGCCGAGACGCTAATATGCTCGAAAACATACGTCGTGTAGGTACAATATAAAATTTTATTCAATCTTCACTAATTTTGTAACCAATTTGGTCGATATTTATAAATGTCAAAGTAATACTCAACAATGAAATCTAATGTCAAAAATCATTAGCAACCAACAACCGCAGGTATACAACAATGGATGTATTTTTTATCATCTAGAGTCTAGACGATAAAATTTCATTTTAACATAAAGAAAAAAAGTAGATAAAATTCAATTTTAACATAGAGGATTGAATAAATGATATTCAGAATGAATTAACCTAAATTAATATTAACCGTACCTACAATGTGCATGCTGTTGGCTGCATTTGAAGAAAATTGTTTAATAATAATTTCTAGAGTTCTTGTTTATGTAAATTACCTCTTTCTGCACAACTAGAAAAAAATAAATCTTCCTGGAAGGTGTAGTGTGGCTAGAAGTATTCATTTCGACGCATCGTTATTTCCGTTTCGTTTTCCAATTCCCCAAAAGACTCAATCTGTTTGACTTTAATCTCACAGTCGCCATCTCATCGATCACAGTTGCTTTTTATACACCTTGTTTTAGTTATTTTATGGCCGTTTTATGTTAATGTGTACAAAGCCTTGCTATCTAAATCGCATGAGAGATTTACGGCCTTACATCAATAAACAATGATAATTGCCAGATCGTATAAGGGTTGCTTGAACCACTCAAGTAAATCGCAGCGAAAGCTGGTTCAATTTAAATCCGCACCTTATTTTTTAAAACAGCGAATGATTTGATCGTATTTTTCATGGAAAACGACGTGACTTTTACTGCTATTGAAATTTTAATGTAGAGAATCTTTAAGTAGCAAATCTATTTCCTTATGTATTTGAAGTTATCATAAGACATATTATTTTAAGCGATTAGTTGATTTATGCAGAATCAAAGACTCTCTGAGCCTCCGTATAGTTCTGCATTAATTTGCTTTCAAAGACATTCTCTATTTTACATAGACAAACAGCTTGGCGGCTTCGATTTCTAAATTGCACCACGGACTGTAGAGCTATCGTTTAAAATACAAACACCATTTTGCTTCATTAAGTGATTTAATCTGCTTTATTTGTGCGTAAACAATTCATATCTAATTAAGAACGAATGAACAGAAATGTAAGTAATAAGTTAAGAAGCGCCGCAACAAAGAAGTTGTACGCTTGGATTATAACGAAGTGGAACAGATAGAAATGATTATGATGGAGAGATAATTCTGGTTTAATATCGGTTTGACGTACCCAGCTAAACACTGTAATTAATTAACGAGCTGGTCAACAATTAATATCTATTTGGAATGAAGATATTGCAAAATCTGTCTCTAGAGAGAATAATTAATAAACACATTACAATAGGACTTAATAGTAATGTTTATCAGCACAGAATTGGACTTTACAGTCCCATACATTCTTGTACATATAAATGTCCAGCATTATTTCCTAACAACACTAGTGTTAAACTTTAAATGAGTTTTTGGTCAAACAATTTTAGACGATTAGACGTTTGGACAGACCTATTTTAGGATTTGGGATCGACCTGTTTGTTATGCTTCAATTAATAAAACAATTATTGCATTAAAAATTGCATTTTTCTTTTGTTTTTAGGAAGTAATTTATATAATAATTAACAAAATTGGTTCAGCACTTGTTAATTTTCTTGTCGCTGATCTCATTTGACGACAATATTGAAGTTAATTTCCTTTTTGGGCTGTCTAAATCGCGATAAGTCTTCCGAGTCCCAAAAGCAGCTTCCGGAAGTGGACGTAATGGTTCCCTGTAGGCCCATTCAGGCTAGCTGTACACCCGTACATCTGTTTTGTCATAGCAGTGCCGAACATCTTCAAATGCAGTTGTAAATTTGCGATAACAAGGAGTGACCTGTCCTCAAGCCGCAAGATAATGTCACATTGTTATAATTACAGTCATTCGAAAACCCGCTTTAAATCACCCCTATAGCCGTCACTGAGTCCAAGCAAATCCGGCGACATTTCACACTTTCTCACATCTGCGTCGCACGACGCACGCTTTATTACATTTTTGCAACATTTGTATGCTAGGTTCTGATCTAGTCTAGATAAATAACTTTCTATCTCTTTGAAAAGGCGTTATATTGAAAGTCGTGTATTTCTTGCGCGAAAATAACAGAAAATGTGAATACAATCCGAATGCCTTTTTTTAATAAAATTGTGTCTCGTAAATATCGAATGTTTGTTGAAATTGATACAAGTTGTTCATAAATGCAGCGTTGGTAATTAAGTTTGGAAAGTTTTATTGGTTTGAACGTAAGTTTACCAAGTCTATTGCCCGGAAATACTGAAAATTGCAATAAAACGCATGGAGCCGTTTTACTTCGTAGCGCTCCGCTATAACTCTAAAAATATTAAATGACATTTACATAGGTACTCGCTGTTATTACACTGAGTTATGGACGGTTTTATGCAATCCATATACTTAAAAATCTAATTGCATAAATTCTTCGCTGGTTTACTTCACGGAACACTGTCTATATATCACTAATACAGCAACACTCCTAGGGTAAGGCAATTTATTTCACCTTATAATAGGATTTTACACATAAAACTAATTTTATGTCGTATAGCCATTCATTTAATTGCAAAGTGCTTTACATGAATTAGTAATTACTTATCTAGCTGAAAAAACAACTCCACGACATAACCGATAGTGCAAGTAACAATAATGGGAATGAAATAGCCATTTAGAGTTTTAATAACGAATTATTTTATAGCTATTAAGACAACAAGAGTTTCTTAAACTACAAAACTCATCTTGTCTTCAAAACATTTTCCCATTAGTATTGGATCAGAAATTTTAGTAAATTCCGAAATTTAACAAAATAATGTCAAAATTCACAAAAGACAACTTTGTAACACTGTTTTTGGCAACATTCTTGTTAGAATGAGCGTATGTCAATTCGATCACGCCAGCAGGGGGTCAATAAATCCTACCGGTCAGTTCGACCACCATATTAAATCCAAAAGATTACGTTAATAAAGGAGAAATATAAAATTTAGCAAACATTTAAACCCTAAATGCAGTTAATTGCAGAATCGACAAAAATATCGATAGTTAAGTACTTCAAGCTCCATCAATCAGATTTTGATTCCTGTTACTCCTGCAGCCGGAAATAAATAAAAACTATTTTTCCATGTTAATTTCCTATATCCAATCCTGCCTGGGACACCAGGTATATTAAACCATGCATTTCTACCGAACACATAAAACTATCTAAAATAATTTGTGCCTCCATCGCTGTCGATGTGCCTTCCCAATTTTTAAAACATGCACGTGGTGGTATGTCAATATTTTTATCAGAATAATTTTTGCAATATTGACAATACTTATTTTTAATACCAACATACAAATTTTTTTTGGTTTTTGCACCAATTATGGAAGCAACACCAGAAGAAGCAGTAACCCGTTTAGTAATTTCTGCCAAAAAGAGAAAGTTTTAGMTCTTTAAAATTTCAGGATTKACTAAATCAAATTTCTAACGAATTCTTGTATTATGATAGTTTTCTTAGAAGAACCCAAAATTATGTTAGAAATTAGTCTTTAACTAATAAGCAGTGCTAAATCTCAAAAAATGCAAATTTAGAGCGAGATATTTTTATATTGTACAAGAGTTTTCTTACAAGAACTCAATGATTTGCTACATAAAAAAAGCACTTTAGAGAAAAAAATTTTTTTTTTTAAATTTCCAACGTATACCTGATTTTTTTAAACTAAAATTATGTTAGAAATTAGTTTTTAACTAATAAGCAGTGCTAATTTAGAGCGAAATTTATTTATCTTTTACAAGAGTCGTTTCCCCTATCCGGGCACACACTGTGTATCTGTTTCGAATTCTGTTGTCATTCATTTTGCGTTCTTAAACGTCGAATAATTCGCGAATTAAAATTTGAATGCAGTTAAATGTTCTATAAATTGGCCACAATGCTACTAGACTTAAAAAAATGTAGCTAAAACCAGATATCATCAGTTTGAAATTCAACAAAAAGGAATGCTTCTTGCAGGTACCGCTTGTGTAAAATCATTATTAGGGGTTAAGCGCTCGATGGGGGGTAATAACGGCTGTAAATCATGGAAGAAGCTTGAGATTTTCGGTCCAAGGGTAATGGGGGTTGCATCCATTTTTTAATTTTTTTTTGTAATTTAGCTTGTATTATAAAAAAAAAATGGAACGTAGCGAGGTGCATATTTTAATTATCTACATGTCAATAAAAAAATTGTTTTAAGATGTTGCACCGTTACAAAGAAAAACCTGGGCAAAGTTTTACAATAATGGTAATTTTTTAGAGAATCTAAGTAATATTTTGAAAAAATTACATCATAGCGGGGTACGTTATGCTATTATTTACAGATAGAGACGTGGATCTTTTTGTAGAATTAAAAAATACAGATTTTACACATGGGTGAAATTTGTATATTTTCCCGTATAAATTTTAGACACTAATGGAGAGCCTTAACAGAA